GAATCTTGGGGTCATACCTGAACAGTATCTTGTGTGACCACGTAGTGCTTAAATAATACTCTGATAGTTACCATGTATAGTCCCAGTCAGATGTTATTCTCAATATGTTGAAAACATAATGAAAAATTCCTCCTTGCCCAGAGAATTGTGTCATTTTTCTTCCTTTCCTACTATGTACTCTATACAGCTGTCCTTCCAGCTGAGATCCTTCTTCCATTATATATTAAAGCTACTAATTGCATGCCTGCATTCTGAAAGTTGCTTTGTCTTAAAGAACCATTCCTTGTTCCCTCACATCACAGGTATTTAATGAATGCATTCAGTATATTCATAAGTATCTGAACATAGTATTATTCCTTTAGATGACCAAGTTGTGATCTGTGTCACTGAATTGAGTAAAGGCATTAGTAGCTAGTCCATGTTGCAGTCAATTATAGTTGAATTATACTGTAATTGCAACTAGCTAATATTATTTAAAAGAAAAACAGTAGGCTTCAGACTGTGTGCTTTGTGTGTGAAGTCAAAACTTGTTAACCACAGTAGGCTTTCTGTTACTTTGCTTGTTTTTTACTTTGTTGTGTTGTACAGGCACTCACACAAAGAGATACGAAGTTCCATTTACTGAATATTATTTCTTCCGTAGTGAAATAATTGCTCTTTGCCTTTTAACCAGAAAAAAACCCAACCTTCTTTAACAATTAAATAAATAAATAAAAGAAGACTAGCAAGGCATCTTGAGATTAATTGAGAAAACACTGGGCTGAAGAGTACCAAAAATAATTTGTTACTGAAAACCAGATTTGTTTGCTTTGTTTTGTTTAGTTGTTTCAGAAGCTTTTAAGTTATTTTAATGGTTATCTAGAGATGTCATAACTTTGCCCAAAAAGCATCCCTAACCTACATGAGTTTGAAATAGTGCTGGGAAATCCAGGTTGGCCCTTTCAGCAGACATAACCTTTTAGCTACTGGGAACGCGTCACCCTTGTGACACTTGTGTGATTGCCCTTGTAGACATCCCTGTCTCTGCTTCAGACTAGCCTCTTTTCCCACGCTTCCATCTGCAAATTGCACTTTCGTGAAAACAGCATGCTAATACTCCCAGCCTTTCGATGAGGCAGAGGTATATAGGCTCTGTTAAGGTGTTTATTCTCTCCCCCCCGCCCTCCCCCAGCATCTAAATGTTAGAAACTAGAAGTCTAATGTCACATCTGATCACCAATTGCTCCTTTCATGCCTTCCTGTCTGGATTTTTTGCTTTATGTAAGTTAATTGCAGTTTGTGGGACTGCAGGATAGAGACAGTGAAGTCAAGTGAGGGACTTGTTAGATAGCAAAGTTGGGAATATGAACTCTCAGAATTCATAATAGAATGGTATTGGTCCCATAGGATCGCCATAAGAGTTAAAGGAAACTTGTAAAAGGGTGAGAGTACTTCAGGTTTGTAGTTTTAAAATATATATTGCTTGAATCTGCTGGCTTTGATGTCTTGAAGCAGTGTGTGAACAGGAACTTCTGATTTACAGTCAAACAGAAGAAGTCATCTCCCTTGAAGAACAAGCCGTTTTCTTCCGTGAATATTGTTGCTTATTGGCTGCTGGAGGAAAAAAGAGGACTGCTACTGTGGGGAGATCATGACCTTGTATTGTATTAAAGTACATATATGAAGTGTACTGTAATGATGCAGCTTCATATTGCAGCTAATTAATCTGACATCTCTATGAGAGGTGGTCAGCATTCCCTTGCCTCTCACTGATGCTGCGCTTCTGCTGCCTTTATGCTGATGTTGCAGAAGGCCAGTTCAGAGGCTTCAACAGGCAGAAAATGAAGCTTAAAATCGGGTAACTTGTAGCTCCCCAAGACACTTCACTAAGGGAAGAGAGAGGAGTCACTCTGTCCTTTTGGCCGTTAGATTAGCTGGAATAAGAAAAATACCCGTCAGGGTGGATTTCCATGGGTGACTGGCTGCTCTAACGTTGTGCTTCTGTTGAAACAAATGGTCCTGCTCTTCCTACCTAGTTTCAGCCATAGCTGTGAGCTGGATCTGATTCTGATTTCAAAGAAAGGTCCACTTCAACGGCTGTGTCCACCAACACCCCCCACCCCACCCCAACACCCCAAACAAAGCACAGCACAAATAATCTGCAAATTTTGAACTCTCTTTTCAGCATGTTGTAATGCTCATGAAACCTCTACTATATAACTACTCTAATTGCAAACAAACCCGGTTGAATGAGCAAGCTGATTTGTTTCATTGCTCTGGCAGGAATGGGTGACAGTAACTGGTAATTTGATCAGTTTATGCTGACTGAGAAACAGCAAAGTTAGATGGAAACTAAAAAAAGTTTGTTTGTTTAGTCTTACTCAATTGTCACAGCATTTTGTAGCATCTCTGCGCAGTGCTGGAGCTGTAATGGTGTAATTTACCTCTTTGAAACAAAAATGAAGTTTATCATGATCTTATTTACCACAGTTTTAGTGCATTTTTATTCAACTTCATTAGGATAGCTTGACTTTCAAACTAATCAAAACACTACTGTTTGTCTTGTTTCCAAAAATACTTTGTTTTTAATATTGCAATCACTTAGCTAATAGAAGAAAGAATAATTAAAGTTATTCTGAAGTTGTGCAATTTAGTAATTTAAAAATGCTTTATATAGTTTTTAGATGAAGTTATAAATGTTCACTTTGGAACTACCTGAAGATTAATAGTGATGCATTTGAAATGCATTATTTTTTTATTGATTCTTAATGTAGTAAATTACTGAAGTTATTTGGCAGCAAACAGAAATAGCCAGTGATGTTGTTCACATTTATTTTCCTGATAGCGTCACAATTTGCATTAATTGCATTGCAGCTGCACTCACTTATATTAAAAAGCTTCTACTATAATTAATCCTTTTTATTTCAAATCATTTTGGCACAATTTCTAGCAATAAACACTCATAAAAGACAGACACTTGAAAAATAACTTACAAGTTTCTTCAATATACCTATTGCTGGTTTTTCCTGACAAGGAATTATTGATAGGCTTCTAGGATCAAGTGTTGCAAGTGGCTGAGACTTCAGACCAGTTTGAAAAATGCTAAGTGGATTATTTTGCATAAAAAATAGACAGGTTTTGAATTTGTGTAATTAACCTGTGTTTAGAAAATACCTTGATTTATGTCTACATTTGTATTTCAGTTGCATACATTATGGAAATTTAATTTATAATCCATTTAGCTGATGTGATCATAGTTTTTAGTGCTATCATTTATTAGTCCTTGTATATTAAATGCTCTAAAGGCTTAAACCTGCCTTGTGTAAAAAATTACACCTCTACATTTACATTTTATGAGTCATAGATGGAATTCCATTTTAAATTCGGGTTGCTTTGATATATTTAAGGAATTACAATGGCTTTATTGTTACTAATGCAGGAACAGCAAACACTGACCTTATACATTGCAAATTAATGATTTATCCCTCTAGTTTGCTTTTAAAGTCAACTATACAAATGAGGATTTTGACTTCTACACCTTGAATAAATCGTATAGCTCTAAATATAATGCACCCTTTGGCTTTGAACTCGTTATTCTCAATTCTTTCTCCAAGGTTTAACTCACCTCATAGAAGCGTTCTTTCAAAAGTTTAAGGAATGTATATTTTTCTTCGCGTCTTTGTTGGAATATCATTGAGTGATTACTGCTACATTTATTCTTCTTTTTTCCTTTTTTTTTTTTTGGCTCATTGTGCTTCCTTTTCTAAGTTTGCAGCAGATTATGGAGGAATTAAGTAGTGCCAAAACACTGCTCTTGAAGAGTAAAAAGAGAACAATGATGTTATGTTGATGATACCTTTTCTGATCAGCCTGGCAGTGATATTAATGATACCGTAAATATTTGGTCGTCATTGGTAGAGATGCTGATGTGGCAAACAAACGGGACAATGGGAAAGGCTGTGCACAGACAGCATGATTCAGGAATGGGTTTTTTTGAAGGCAACGGTCTTTTGTCCTTTATTCATGTAGGCTTTCTCTAAATTATGTCGTGCTTTCTAGTTCTTAAGTTTCCCCTCTCTCCTTTTGAGAGCTACCATAAGTACTTTTTTCCTCCAATCAACAAGAAGTTGTTACTTACAGTAAGAAGAATATGCAAAGTTGCTTTGCGTTATATCAAAATGTGGTCATACAATAGATCCAACTGAGAGTGGTGTTGCTGGAGTTTTGTGCGTTTTTGAAAATTCTTGAGGGAACTCAGTTTACAGTAAAAATACACTTTTCATGAGTGCTGCATATTTGGGTCAGGCTCATTTTTGGTTCAGTAATCTTTTGATAGGTGTAACAGTGTTAGGTATAGGAAGGATTGGACATATGATACAGTCATAGCTGGGAAGCGCTGGGCTTGGAAATTATGATGATTTGATGATGCCATTAAGCAGTAGAGTTCACCAAAAGTATGTGGTTGATGAATCTGTATAACGTACAAGACAAATAGTTTATTTGGATTAGTTTAAAATGTACTGGTTTTACATAGTTATTTTTGAGGGCCAGACTATTTTACATGTAGCAATTGATATGAATGGAGAAATACTGTTTGTGACGATGCTAATGGAGGTAGAGATGCTAACTTTATTGGAAGACATGCTTAATGCAGTTGCATTGTCCTTTGGCAAACTTTGCTTTTCTTGCCAACCTATGCAATTTGTGCACTTCCTGGTTGCTATCATGCTTTGGATAAGAAGATCAGTGGCAGATGAGCAATGACCTTACCTTCTAAATCACACATACTTAATTTGTAACATTTGGGAGCTTGGTATTTAACAAGAGTATTTGAATTTCAAACTTTGGGTGAATATTTTTCAATTTATGCAATATCTGGGCTATTGCCATACTAGAAGGTCCTATTCAGGAACCAAATTAAGAAGGAATTACCAGTACGTTGAGAAAAAGACACTAGACTTCAGAATTCCTGCATGTACAACAATAAAATCTAATGTGCTTTTAATTGCTTTGTTTTTCAGGCTCTTTATGAAAATATGCTGGTGGAGCTTCCATTTGCTAGTTTTTTCCTCTCAAAATTACTGGGGACAAGTGCTGATGTTGACATTCATCATTTGGCTTCGTTGGATCCAGAAATGTACAAAAATTTGCTTTTTCTCAAGAGCTATGAAGGGGATGTAGAAGAACTTGGACTAAACTTCACTGTGGTAAATAATGACCTTGGGGAAGCACAGGTAAGAATGGCTTTCCCTTTTTTTTTTCTTTTACGTATGACTGATGAATAGTTACTATCCCTGCTAATTCATTTTTTAATTTAAAAATGATCAGAAACAGCTGTTAAAGGTGCTGTGAGGGATTCTGACTCAATATTTGAAGTAGACAATAACTAATTGTGTACTTAAAAAAATAACTTTTGTTGATGACTTAAAGCTCTGGTCTTCTAAGTAGTGAGCTATAGTGATTATTTTCTAACAGTCGTACATGAAAAGTTCTATTGCCGGAAATAATTTCTTGAACAAAATATTTTATGTTGTTTCTTTGATTGCACTTCAAATAATTGCAAAAGTTAGATTATATGTTAACTGTAGAAGTACTGTCTGGTTTTGGAATCAGTTGGCAATCAGAATGTTTTCAAATAATAATAACCCTTTATTGTGAGTTAACTGTTGTCTCCTTTAGCTGTAATTTTCAAAGTAGAAGGCCTTAAGTTAGATCCTATTATTTTTTTAAAACCCCCAGCCCCCTTTTTTTTTTTTTGGAGGGGCTGAAAAAATTGGGCCAGTTAGTTAGGTCCTTCAGTATGACTATTTAACGTGACTGTAGTATATAATTAGATTATGGGTTTTATTTGCTCTGTTGTGAGTACTAAAGATCACTTGTGCTCATAGTAGAATATCAACATCACCAGATTTTGAAAAGTGTGCCTGTATTTGCTAATACAGTGAACCTCCTTAGTTAGACTTGTCATACTTCCTCTTCCGTTTTTGAGGATTTAAAATAGTGTGCTACTCATGGCCTACTTATACTTGATTATGGCATTTGATTAATAAGTGGATCAACAAGGTAGACCTGACACCATTGTGAAATGCAGCAGCACCTGAATTCAGCTTTGTTTCTTGCAGAAGAAACGGAGACGATATGAGGGGGTGAGCAGTTCTCTTGGGTTTGCCTGTTGGTCAGGGAGGCCTGGGACTATGGGCATCTCGCAGAAGGTGCAGCACCTCTGAGATGCAGCAGCTAGTCCTGCAGAGTGTTAGGTTGAGTTCTCCACTGCTGCTTAAATCATAGCAAATTTGATGTCTAAGACTTCTGCTTTAACAGCATCGGGCTCAGGCTTCGTCTTCACTTTTCTGTCATCCATTTCCTGTCATTTTGGAAGATCCAAAAACCTGGATTGCATTACAATTTTATAATAGTATCCTCCGATTTGGGATTCCTGGATCGTACTGAAGGGTAGAGTCAACAATTGCCTGGTATAAGTAATGTTTCATATTAAACATACGCCATATGTCGTTTTTTCCCCTGGGTTACACTCCCTATATGAAACCACCTGACCTGTGCCGTCATTAGAAAAACACTCAAAAACTTGAAATAAAGGCGTGTGGTATAGATGTATCAGAAAGCACGTTCTTAGAGCACCTACTCTGTTGTACAGTATTGTACAGCAGGGCGTCCGCTCCGCTGTATCATGTGCTGTCAAGTGATACTGAATTGAGTTCTATAGTATCCATGTATTTGGTTTAGTTGCAAAATGCACAAGAACACAGTTTCCAATATAACCTAGGATTTTTTTTGGGGAAAAAAAAGTTTGTTGTTTGTATTCTAAAGCCATTCATTTAAATGCACTTTAAGTAATAGTTTTGTTGATAACGGCTAATATAAATGCAGTGTAGTCTCTATTTAAAAATGAGAAGTAGCTAATATTTTCTGGAGAGCTTGTGGTTCCCATACTTCATGCATCTACTCTGTCCTCAAAAATTAGCCCCACAAATTAGAACCTACCTCAACATGTAAGGGAGAAGGACACAGAAAAAAGAAATAGCTCAGAAATAACATACAGGGAGATCCAAGTTAGAGGTGTGTCCAACTCTACCTATTGCAACAAAAACTTGTAAAAAGTGCATTCTTGCCAAGAAACCTAATTTGTTCTTTAAAACTCTCTGAGGGCTATGGCTAGTATTATCAAGACTTGATTTTTAATTGTTTGGCATGACTTTAAAAGGAAGATTAAATATAATAGTGACTTTCTGAGTAACTAAATGAAATGTAGATTGAATTAAATATTCTGATGCTATATTGCTATGTTTATACGTAGAGAGAGAACACTATACTTGTGAAGTATTAACCGTCTTTTAATGAGACTACATGGTAGTGTAGTTCAACAGAACTAATTGTTCTTGTCATTGTCTTCTGGGTTTTAATGCAACAAGTTACTTTCTATATTTCATTTCATTATCTTAATAGACCTCATATGGATAAATACATTTTGTCTGGTATTTTACTCGTATAACCATTGCATACTAATTAACTGTGTCAAGGTAAGGCTAATTCACTTTGGGGAAAAGAGCTTAATTTGCACTCCTTATGTTCAGTATACATTATCTCTATTTTTCAGCTAAACAACCACTTTAGGCTCTAATAAATTAGTGCCCAATAAATGCATCATAAATCTATCATTGTAAATAGCTATCCTCATGACAGTGTCCATCCAGCAATTGTGGCACAAAAGCATTATCTGCAATGAAAGACACATTCAAAAGGGGCTCTATTGTCTCTGTCAGTAGTAGAAGGTAGAAATTCTATTATCAGCGTATTGATTCCAATCCTGTAATGTGCTTTTAGATCCCATTAAACTATTGTCAAAGTGCATTCACCAGAAGTTGAAAAAGGTACTTAATAATTTGCACATTAGACCTGCTAATTAGGGGAGCTCTGCCATCAACCTTATCTTCCAACCCCAAATAGCTTTAGCTTTTGATAAAGAACTATCTAATGCAGTGATACCAGCCTAGACTTCAACGGTTGGATCTGCTGCGTAAAATAGTGGCCAGTAAAAAAGTCTCAAAAGAATGTCAGGCTGTAGTTACAAGTGCCTTCAGGTAGGTCTGTATATTGATTTTATTTTTCCTTTTACCTTGTAGATTAGATGATGATAAAATGGTGATAAAATGCTTATAATAAGTATAAGGTTAACAAATTCAAGAAAATCCCTCCTCTTTTCAGACCTTCCTCCCCTCCACCCCCCTCGCACTCAGTGAGGAAGGTGAGCTTTGTGGCTCCCCAAGGGAAGAAAGGAAGATTGAAATATGTTATTCCTCTTCCTTCAGAAATATGAGAATCTATACTCCAGCGAGTCTTCTCAAACATTGATTCTTGAGATGACGTGGATTGGAACAGTTGAATAGGAGAAGACTCCATAATCAGAAGACTCCGTAAATGAAGTGTAGAAGCACAAATCCACGGAAAAGCACTAGAATATATATGGCAGCAGTTTCCATTAAATCCATATAGCATAGGCACTGGGGTCAAGACACCTTCTTTGGCTTTTTAAAACAGATGTGAATGCCATTGCCATTACTGGAAATATGTTGACTCACTAAAGGAGAGTACTTGGCCTTTAAATTTCCCTGAGAGAAAATTTTGAAGCTTTAAAAATAATTCTGAAAGTTTCTGTCTTGGCAGGTTCTTTCCTAGGATACAGTGGCTTAGATGAGTGATTTTGGAGGTTTTTCAGAAGGAAAATATTTAAGTTGAGGCTGATCCTTCTCAGGCAGATTTATAACACTTATGGCAAATGCATTCTTAGGCATTCAAATGCAATCTCCTACCTGGAGCTCCTGCCTGAACATCTGGAAGGCAGATGATGCAGAAAGAAAGCAAGCCTTTATCTACTTTTTTTTCAGAATGGGGAAAAACCTTAGCGGTGTTGTGAACAAAAGTGATCACAGTCCAAGAGAGAAGATAAAATATTTTAATCAGTCTTAAAAACAAGTTTGTAAGAATTCTTGACTCTGTAAGCATGCGTTTTGAAGTTGCACTGTATGTGTCTTACATCTTCATATAGGAAAAAAAAAAAAGAATACCTAGATGACGCATCCCTTATTCTTTCCTAAAATAATTCCCACTTTACCCTCTAAATATTCCCTTTTTCTCCATTATCCTGGGAAGCAGCTGCCACTGCTGGATCTGTGTGAGCAGCAGCTAGCATTAAGTTTCTTTACCAACAGAGACGTGCCATTGTCTGCCTGTAATCACATACAAAGCAACTTTGTGTGACAGGTTATTATCAATAAGCCAGAAGATAAATCCCCTGAATTCTGCTTGACAGATATTATGTTATTCACTGGTTTCCTGATCTTTGGTGTGTGTTTATTTCATTGTTATGCTAACATTCAAAACAGTAGACATAATAGCTGAAAATGATATCTGAACTGTTCACTTGTACATAAGATAAAAATTTACTTTTTTTTTTTACAAACTGTGCTGGTTTTCTTGAATATAAAAGTAAGTTGAGAGGATTTTTTTAGTTTTGTACTTGCAAAAACATATAATTGAATTTGTAGCCAAGAAAACCATAAGTGCATGCAACCGTAGTTCCGAGTGTATCTAACCTACAGTCAGAGGCCTAATTCAATACTTCTGTCCACATCACTAAAAAATGCAAAGGACCTTGTCTTGCAGATTTGTAAAAACATGGGACTTTCATATCCCATTTTGATATTTCCCCTTCATTTTGAAGACATACATTGTGAGTATGGAATCAAATTCAGTTATTTATGGTATTGCCCGAGTGGTCCTGAATACATGTCCTAAAATAGGTATGATTTGATTGCTTTTAAAATACGTGATTTGCATAAAGAACCAATTGAAAAAGGGTTTTTTTGTTGTTGTTGTTTTTTAACTTAGATCTACAAAATAGAAAGTAAGGTGATGAGACAAGTTTGCATGTTTTGGGAAGTTCTCTCGCCCATCCTGTGTAACTGTCTTGCACCATCTAGTGGTGAAAATCGGATGGATAAAAATGCAAGCTGATAAATCTTTTTAGGTTTTATAAATTGTGTCATGGCATTTTTGAAAACAAACTCTTCAACAGTCATTCCTGATGTTTAGAATTAAGTGGGAGTTTTGCAATAGCCCTTTAAAATGCCATGAAAACAACGACTGAGTAAAAAATTGTCTATGTTTAGTATAGTTTTACTGACAGCCAAAGTGTTACCGTTTTCTGTCTTAGATCACTGTGGAGACAATACTATTATAGTGCAAACATAAGCAAAACTTAATCTGTGTCCTTATCTCTATTTGCTGACCTGCAGGGAAAGTTTGATGTTTTACTTCACCTAGTGCTGGAGTGAATCTTAAACCACAGCAGTTTTCTAGAACGCCTTGCCAGTAGTTTGCTTTTACTATTTTAGGGAGGAAGCCAGTTCAAGCATCTTTTTGTGTAAATGGTGAGCTCACAGTAATTATGTGTAATGTAATGAAGTATGCAAATTGAATACTACCTACTAGTTTATTGTTGGTGTCCGTATTCTTGAGAGAAGCTTGATGAGTTGAGTGATACAGATGATCTCAGTATGGTGTTGTGGTTTAGGCCAAACCGGCTACTGGGGACCTGGGGGACCCCAGATGGGACTGACAGATACTCCCCTCTACCCCTCTTCAAAGAGAGGGGCAGAGGAGGAAAAAGAGACTTAAGAGTTTAGAAGGAACTAAACTACTTTAATGAAATATTAATAATAAAATAAAAATAAATAATTAAATATATACAAAACCGTATCAAGCTCCCGAGATGACAGTCACGACACCGGCTGGCACTGGGGCAGTCCCAGGCTGGACTCGGTGACGGACGGGATGATGATCACAGGCAGATGAACAGAGTCCTCTTCAGACATCGGCCGTTGAAGGATGAGCCCCCCTGACCCTTTGATCCCTCAGCCTTTATACTGAGCATGAGGCAGATGGGATGGAATACCCTCGTTGGTCAGTTTTGGGTCACCTGTCCTGTCCGCTCCTCCTTGCAGGTGGGACCCCACTATGCTTTTCCACTTCTGACTCTCCAACGGGGCAAATAACAAAGTTGGTTGGCCTTGGTTGTTATAGCAATAAGTATAAGCAAGGTCCTCTCTGCATACCATGGCTGGGCATCAGCTATAAACATAGGTCTTATCACTCTGAGAGAGTGAACATTGTCTACCCAATATGCTGTTAATTTCAGTAGTTAGAGAGGCCCAGCTAAGAAGCGAAGTTACTGAACAAAATTGGTTCCATTTTACTTCAAACCAGAACATATGGCCAAATTCAGTGTGTCCATACTTGAAAGTGAGGAACTGGATTCAGTGTGATAGTGACAAAAGAACAGGTAATGATGCAGTTCTGCAAAACAAATGTAGATTTGTAAGTGGGCAGATAGTGAAGTATTACTACTGTTGAGGTCTCACAATGATTTGTTCATGTGGAATGTCATTGGTAGCTCTGGTCCTGTAACACTAAACAGTACAATAATTTAATAAGTAAGAGAAAGCTTTCTGATCTTTTTAGGCTTTGTAAAAGGGTATTTTATAGGAGGAAATTAAAGGAACTTGACTTATTTTAGTTCTGTGAAGAAGTCTCTGGGAGGATTCATGAAGTTGCTGCCCATAAGTGGATACAATTGCGGAGGAAGGTAAAGAGCTGGTTAAGCTATAGGGCGATAAGAACAATGGGTATGATCAAACTTTACCCATTGAACTTGAAGTGGAAATTAGAACATTTCTAATCATTAGATGGATCCAACTATTGACTAACTTTCCAGTGACAATAGTAAAACTACTGCAGTGGAATGAAACACAGTAGATTTCCAGACCGTGGTGTTGCCTGTAGTAGCAGAGGAGAATGCTTAGCAGTGCAGGGCCCCCTTCTCATCAGATGTTTCCATTGTGGTATGGAACATATCCCATACATCTATTAATACTCCTTGTGGACTTCACCAGGAAAAATATCCTCACCCTCAGGCCAGTCAGTGGCACCAGGTACTGGCCTGTACCCCTAGAGTGGCTGGCTGCATTGCCACTCTCCCCAGAAAAAGCTATCCTGCCTCGTGGGGCCATGGTTCTTATTGAAGGGGACTCGCTTAGAAGGGAGCAAGCTAATGTGTGCAGGGTGTGAAAGAGTCAGCTAAGCTTACATCTTTGTTTTACTTAATTCTTCAGTCAGTACTACCTACACCCAGAGATGGTGGGGTACTGATGAGGATTTTTACTGTAGGTATAACAAAATCAAGAAGCTTGCAGCTGAGGGATTAAAGTGGGAAGTGAGACACATTTTTAACACCTATTGTAATTCAGGTTTTCCTGTCTTATCAAGGAAAAGTGGTAAATACTCCCATCACACAGAGTCTTTACACCAGGATTGCCTGTCTCTCTAAAAAATGTGTTCTAACTCATCCATAGATTTATTGACTTAAATACAGGAATCTCTAGACAGAATCCTCTGGCCTGTGTTGTCCGGGAGGTCAGACTCACAGATCTTAATGTTCTCTTTTGGCCTTAAAAATCTATGAATCAAGTAAAAATCTGAATGCTCAAAAGCACTGTGAATTTTTAATCTTACCACTTTGCATTTTGCTTAGTACTGGAGCAGCTGACATTATCAGGTAGCATGTTACAGAAGAATCTATTCACATGTTTAATTCTCTGTGTTCTAAAGATGTGATCATTACCACAAAGTGAAATGTGTAGTTATTTAAAAAAAAAAAAAAAAAAAAAGAATTAAAAACTTGCTGACTTCAAAGTGTAGAAAAACAAACTTTTTTCTCAAGGCTTCAGAAGGTGACTGTATCTCAGCTTTTCAGGGTTTTTTTTATCCTCCTCTTAGTACTCAAATAATTTCTTCGTATTTGGCTACCACTCAGCAAAATTATCATCTTGTGGTAAAGAGTGGAATGGGCCAAGGTCAGTAGAGTTTTAATAGCAACTACTGTTGATCCTGGTTTATATCTTAATGCAATTACAGTATCTTTCGTTTGGGTTTTTTTTCATTAAAAATTCTTCCATGCTGAAGTGTCTTGGTGTACTTGAAGGACAAAAGCTTCTCAGTAGACAAACAAGGTGTAGGCTTGATTTTTTTGTTGTTGTTTTGTATTTTTGTTGAAAGTACAGAACATGTATAACTTGGATTTTCAACAGTAGGAGTTGTGAATGCTTATCATCGTGTAAACGAGGCTTGTATCAGAATTTTAATTTTGACTCAGCGGACGTTGCTTTTGCCATAATGTGATCCTGCAGAATTCACGATAACCAGACAGTTGGAGAAGAGCCTAGCCAGCCAAGCACGGCTTTCCTTATCCACTGGGAGGAGAGTGCTGTATGTGAGATCTGTGCTTATACAGGCTACTCGCTCTTCCAGGGCACTTACTAACATCGGTGAAGCTAGGGGCAAGCTTGCTGAGGGGAGGATTCTCACCTCCATTTCTGTCTGACTTGCAGTGGTGAATTTAGTATTACACACTGTCTTCTATAAAAGAGCTTTGACTTTGCCGAATCCACTTTCTGGTAATAAACCATGGGGCCATGCGGTCAGCTGCATTAGCAGCTGGAGGTGTAAGTCTGAGAACTGGATGACATAGAATATGCTCTTACGAGTAAACAGAAAACCCCCTACCTTTATAACTTGTCATAATCTTTTATCATATTTTGAGGTGAATATTCTTGAGTATATTCTAGTAAACTTCAGATATATACATCACTTACTAGAATGTTTTGCATTTCAATTTTATGGTTCCAGCACGCAGAATTAAAGTTTACCAAGATGATGAAAATTGTTATGTTTATAGGTGGTTGAGCTGAAGCCTGGTGGAAAAGACATTCCTGTTACCAGCGCTAACCGAATCGCGTACATCCATCTCGTGGCAGACTACAGGTTAAACAAACAAATTCGACAGCATTGCCTTGCTTTCCGTCAGGGACTGGCCAATGTGGTGAATCTTGAATGGCTTCGAATGTTTGATCAACAGGAAATACAGGTAGTTCTGCTTAAAACTGCTGAAAACAATTGCTTTAAACAGAAATAAATGCTAATTTTTGCCTGTAATGTAATTGTCTAACTTCTTTCACTATTAGGTTCTGATTTCTGGTGCCCAGGTTCCTATTAGTTTGGATGACCTTAAATCTTTCACAAACTATTCAGGTAAGTATATCTTAAATTAAAAAAGTATTATGAGTGACTCAGGAATAAATAAACTTGCTTTTTATCCTAGCTTTTACATAAAAGTTATAGGGTCGTTCTTGTTAACTTGGCCAAACTTTGTAGAGGGGCCTGAATTACAACCTAATTTTATAAATGCTGGGAGATACAAGTATGCAGTTTATTTTATTCGTACACTTAAATGTGAATTTATAGCCAGATAATTAGAGGACATGTAATTCCTTTTCTAAATGGATGTTAGTCGATGTTGTGTCGGGTTCCCCTGAAAATAAGTCAGCAAATGACTTGGGAAACTTTTTGTTTCTACCACTGCATTCAGATACTTACTGTTTCTCAGACAGCCTGAAGACAGAGCTCATATTTTTTTCCTTGTGAGAAATGCAAGCTATCTTACTTGATTCTTCCGTGCATATATCATGAATGTAATCAAGAAGTAGCTGCTATATCATCAGATCACATCCAAGCTTACTTCAAAGTAAGTTGATTCATTAAATAACGTCCCGAGTCTCGCCGCTTTCGCAAACTCTTGGAGTAAAAGGCAGTAATCCAAAGTTACTAGATAAATGCTAAACTAAATAAAGGTAATTTAAAATAAGCAAATAGCATTCAGTGGAGAAAACTGCAGTTAAGCTGAGGGAGATGGTGGTCACAGGTCAGCAATGAATGAGGAACTCGGTGCTGTGATCAAAGAGATTATAGATACTGGAAGGCAGCAGTGTAAGCCTGCTGGTTTTAATATTTTCCCCAAGCTTTTCAAGATTGACGCTTGTTATCTGAAGAATATGTTTCTTACATAAAACTATTCTACCTATAAATTAATTAAATCTCATTATAGGTGGCTACACAGCAGACCATCCTGTAATTAAAATATTCTGGAGGGTTGTAGAAAGCTTCACCGATGAAGAGAAACGCAAACTGCTGAAGTTTGTAACAAGCTGCTCTCGTCCGCCTCTTCTGGGGTTTAAGGTATGTCTTCCGGACTTCCTGGCATGGTTCCGTAAATACTACAGATTATGATACAAGCTTTTCTTGTCTGTAGGCATTTACAATTTGAGAAGAATGTTCCTCTGCGACTATAGAAACAGCTTCCATGTTTGCACTTGCATCTATAATGAGTATAGTTTTAAAATATTTAATGAAATGTTGTTCTGTTGTTTTCTGTTTTAACCACAAAATTTGATAAGCCTAAAACCACACTGGTTAGAGCACTGACTCTGCCATGGAAGATCCTTGATGGCAGTTCATATTACTGTACAGAAGCAGTATTGCTACCAGTTGCAAGGAACAGGTTGAGTTAAGAGTAATGTCTTTTAAATCAGGCAAAAGAGGATTTGGGATATAAAAGCAGCTATTAAATTTAAACCTCTTAAATTAACCATTTGAAGGGGGAGATGTGTTGTTTCCTTCTAATTACCATTTATCTGCTTACGGGGTCACGGCTCATTACCTTTTGAATCTAAATATTTTGCTGCTATCTTTAGATTGCTATTTACAGTAAAGCTAAAGTATGAAGAAAACTTCTGTGTAGCGCTAATAAAACTAAAGAGAGGTCGAGGCAAGTTGAAGACGTTTTGAAATTAAATTCTGGGGATGTTCTACCCATTAGTTGCAGTTGGACTTCAAAATTCTGGCTAAGAATCAGCCATGGACTTCATTTCCTCTAAAATGTAGGAACATTCAATGCTTTTCTGTAAGGAAATAAAAGAATAAATTGTTTCATAGCAACACCATCACCTTTAGTACAGTGGTCAACAGCATGTTTACTATTGTAAAGAGCATGTACTATATAGTAAATTTAATGCAGAAGTGGGTTTATGTGGAACATAAATATAGGCATTGCATCATCTAGTTGCTTACAAGTAAGAATAAGATTTGTTTCTAAACAAAACTTGACTACAGGCAGTTAGTAAATTTTCACATTATAAGGTACTGTGATACAATATTTAATTAGCAGTGGATAGTAACTAATTTTCGACATTTATTTGGTAAAATAGGTAGATGAACCCCTAAGAAATGAATGCAGGTAATGTGTAAGTTCTGAAAGTTTCTTAGCTGTTTTGTTGAATGAACATTTTCTTATTATAGAAGTACTTCAGGAACACATACTAACATTTTATATAGGAACAAGGAATTAGGATACACATAATAGTCTCGAGATGGAAACGACATACTTGGAATTTTGCACAATTTTTTCTTGAATCATACTGTGAAAGTTCATTGTGGTGGTTTTTTTTTTTTTTTTTTTTTTTTAATCAGCATTTTAAAAAGTACTTGAAAGGCAAATTCTACAAGAATGTCTTCTGAGCTCTAGGAATTGTGCCCTTTCCTGTGACGTGTCCTGGGGGTGACGCATGATAAAGATGTCAGAAGTAAAAAACCTTCCTCTTCCACACACACAACTTAGATGTTTGTAGTACTTGCCACTGTTTTTCTTCTTCAAACTTTTAATGATTTACTTTTTTCCTAAAAACAGGCAAGATGACACTCTGATACTGAAATCACAGTGGTCTTTGTCACAGACCTTTGCCACTTGAATGATTTAAAATATATAAAAGCATATGTGGGCTGTCATACAGTAGTGTGTAGATCAGTTGCTACAGGTGACGAAAGAATACTCCTGGTGGCTTAGAGCTCTTTTTTTTTAGGCTGCAGAGCAATTTTGAAGTGGAAGAGTTGTTTCTAGTGCCACGTTCTGCAGGGAAGCATGGCCCTTTTCCCTCAACTTCCATCTATCCCCTTATGCTGCAAGTTCACTTTCCCTTCCTTCTTCAATCCTTTTGTTCATTTTCCTATTTCTTCATAAGCTGATATGGGTACGCAGCACTGCTGTTGCAGCGTGCGATCATTTAAACCTCCCTTGGGTACAGTTGTTCTGTAACCCTCAGTGCAGTCTCACCCTCCACATAACCCCTTCAGCTGCTGTAGCAAGAGCTGTGCGGTGCTGTTGGCATGTGGGTGGGCACTGTATCCTCCACCTTCAGTATCTACAATCTGTAGCTCAGCCACACTCCTTTTCTAGGCACCTAGGAGAGGAGTGAGCCCTTTCAGTTGACAATTTGTTCGACTGTTGCACGTGTCTGCTTTGGGATGAAATTAATCATGTTTTAGATTTCACAAAACATACTAGCTAGATCTCCTTTAACAGTAGAGAGAGCCTGGGGTGACTAGATGTGGATATGGAGACAGTGGAGACGGCTGTTTAATCACATGAATCCTATCAAGGGTATTCACTGATTGATTTGTGTGATTAGTTATTTAAAAGCCTGCAAGCATTTCTCTTAAAGTCTCCAAGTGTGTGGGAATATCGCTGTACAGTACTCTAGCAACAAACAGAATTTTACAGGACAGTGGGAAGAACAATTAGAAAACTGTGAGATGAGACCAAGATGGAACAGCACACATCGGTCATGTAATGAAGGGAGAATTGGGAAACAGTTGTGTGGGAACAAAGTAAAGAGAAGTCTCCATTTGTTGTCATCCTTTTTAATTACAAGGGGAGAGCAGGAAATGCAGATGTAGCTACCCAACTTTGAGGCAGCCAGCCTGACATTTGAAGAGATGGAGGAAGTGAATCAAAAGTCTAAAAATATTAAGGCTGACAGTGACACATTAGCAACAGGATGTGGCGAAGCCAAATGGGGAAAGTTGAAGTTTGTGTACTTGGGAGATAGGCCACAACCTGACTTTAACATACTTGGCTAGGAAAAAATGGAAGTAAAACAGTCATCAAATTTTCAGCGTGATAGCAATAAGTTAAAAGATTAATTCAGTGTACAACAGACTTGCAAGCTCAGCCACATGCAGCAGTCTTGGCAACAGAAGGCAGAGTGAAAAGGCATTACTGCTGCTTTGCCGGGCAGCGCTGAGCGGGAGTTAGGTCGGTACTTGCGTGGTGGTTGCAGTACTATCTCGTTAACACAGATTTACCAATACAGCAGGGGTTTGCCAGGAAATGTTTGCCAGAAGAGGAAGTGGGTAACTGGTATTGTCATCAGCAATAACATCTTGGTAGCCTATGACAGTGTGTTGTTTAGAGCTTTCAAAGTGAAGCGTGCAAACCCTCAGGAGTGCTGAATATTACCAGCCAAATAACTGTCTGAATATATTTATGCTGATGGTAGACATTAACACAAGCTATCTTCAAAATTTGTTTACAGTTTTAATATGGTTACTACATTTTTCTGAGAGGAACACAATTTCTAGTTCTCACTCTGAAATCTTCTGTACGGTCTGTATTGTGGAATCTTCACGTTTTTCTAAAGTTAGTGCATCTTAATTTAAGAGAAGGAAATGTCTTGACGTTCAGATAGCACAGCCTAGCTTTGCATCATTTAAAAATTTTAAACCGTCTCTGCCAGATTCAGACTTAGAATAACATTTACTAAAGCTAATTAAAGTTTAATAAGTTTAATAAATGTGATTGTTAGGAACCAAAAAAGAAAAAAATCATTAAAGCATGGTTGAAAATTGTTAAGTTCCAATCACGTCACATAATAAATTGATGATACTTTTAACTTCCAAACTATTGCAGTTTCCCGCTGTACAGTATTTAATTATGCAACAAATGGTGCCCTTGGCATGACATTTCCATTTAGAACTTCATTTTTCCATTTTTAAAGCTAAAGTAGGGGAATTCAATTAGCATTTTGAAAGGAACACTAAAAATGCAGCATTTTAGCCGTGAAATACTTTTTAAGGCCTCCATTTGAACAATAATTTAGCTTAGAATCTAATTGACCTTCTGCCTTTGGAGGTGGGATTTTTTTTCCCCAGTTTCCAAAATCAGAGCTGTTTTACCTCAGGCAAGCATTTGATAAAATGAATACTTTCTTGCCAGCAAAAGCAGTGCTTCAGAGGTAACAAATATTTTTTTTTTTCACTATACTCTTTCTCAGAAGAAGAAAAAAAATCAGATTTTACTAAAACAATTAAATATTACATTCAAAATGTGTTAAAAATCTGTTGCTCAGATCAACAGTTATCACATCAGAAGAATAACCAGGGTTTGACAAGTTTATATCATTAGAGTCACTATGCACATCAGTATCACCCCAGTAACAGCTGAGTGACTTTATAATCACTCTGTGAAGAAACACCAGTATAATTGCTTTAAATAAAGTTAGATCTTTATTTGGAGAATATAAAGTACCTCTTGATTCAGAGTTCTAGACCACAGTAGTGTAAATACTTGCTTAATCTTACACATGAACAGATCCACTGAAGTCATTAGTACTATTTGTCTTGAAATTAATAAATGGTAGGCTTGCTGAAAGATTAGTTTAGACAGAAATCCCTTTAGGGCAAGAAACGTCTTTAGCGTTGTATCAGACAAACGATTTTAAAAAATAAATGATCATTGTATGTTGTGGTGAGTAGAAGGAAAATGACGGCTTGATACTTATCCGCGTGAATAATTTATTTTTTATGTCAGGCTATGCTAACAAACTAAAGCTCCAGAAGGAAAACACTGAAAGGGTGTATTTGATCATGGTTTGTTTGGGACTTTTTTTTTTTGGCTGCCATAAAGAAATTGATGTAGTTCTATAATTTGTACTTGGATCTGGTCACTCGTTCATCTTCTTTCTCCACAGATCATCACTTTAACATGACAATTAGAGAATTCATACATAAAATTGGCATGGCACGTCACTTCATTATCTAGAGCAAAATTGTCTTTGTTGGGATCTTTGTGTATACAGAAACAATGTCTTCCCTGCCTGGAAAAAAACCCCAAACCAACAGAAAGCATAATTCTCAGAAGAAGCCATGTCATTATACAATAATAAATATTACATGTCACTCAAACATGACGAACTCAAACATCCTTTTCCATCTACCTCTGTTACTGGTAGTGGTCTGTAGTC